TTTTGTGTTTGTGTGTGTGTGTGTGTGTGTGTGTGTGTGTGTTGGAACTGTGGTGTTGGCATCATATAAATAATGGTGTTTTGCAGATTGGGGTTGGAAGGGAGTCGGGTAGTTGCAGGAGGTGAGTGAGAGAAAGGTGCGAATGCTGGGATCTTTCAGGAAAATGTGTCAAGGGCAACCAGTAGAAGGCTAAAGGCCCAAGGGTGAGTGCAGCCCAGGAGTCAGGTTGCGCTTCCACAGCAGTGATTCTTCCCGGGGGTGGGGGGGTGAGTTTCACCCGAGGGGGGGGTGGGCATGACCCCCAAGGGAGGCCTATCACACCATCTGAAGGGGGGGCAGTACACTGCTTGAAACAACAAAACCAAAAAAATTCAAAAGAAAACACAAAAACACACCCCAAAGATGTTGCTGATAGGCCTCCTTGGGGGGTCATGCACCCTCGGGTGAGAATCACTGGGTGGAAGGGGCAGAGAGGAGAGCTGGGCAGAGAGGCGAAGCATGAGCAGGTGAGGAGGTGGAGGTATGAGACTCAAGCATGTCAGAATGGGGCTAAGGGACCCTGGACCAGGCAGACAGCAAGCAAAGAGAAATCACCTGGAAGGATAGAGGGGGGCACCCTGGCCTTCACCTTGAGTGAGTAGGGAGCCGAGCACCAAGGTTTGGTCCTGGCACTGGGGCCTCTTGAGGAGGAGGGCTGAGGGAGACAGGAGCGACCAACGGGGAAATTTAGGGTGGACTGATGTGATGAGAGAGCACCTGAAGGGCTGTAGAGCAGAAGCAAGGCCCAGCTGGGACTGGAGATGATCTGGCAGAGAGACGATGGCTGGCAGAGGAAGGACAAGAGAGGGGCAGACAGCAAGACCCAGGGCTCTGTGCAGAGCGAGACTGAGCGCCAAGGTGTCAGGCATGGCTGAGCAGGCACAGGGGCAAGAGGGAGGGCTGAAGGCCAAAGACCCAGAGCAGTGGCTCCCAACCTTTTTTTGCCCACGCCCCACCTAAGCATCTCTAAAATCCTGATGCTTCCCCCGGCCCGTGGCATATAATTCCCATTATTCAAAAAGTGAACTCCGATTCATGTGGAGGACACCTAAAAGGCCACTAACTTGGTCTAAACAACCTTCCAAACAAGATGGCATCCATGAAAGAGAAAAAGAGAAGAACAACAGACAGTTGACATACTGAGGAAGAAATAACCCAGAAATTGCCCCAAAATAACAATTGAAGTGATATCCAAAAATAGCAAATAAACTTTTAAACATATAACAGATGCCGGGGGGTAGGGGAGGCTGGGGGAAGGTCAATTGGGGGGAGAAGGACACAGATGTACTAGTATTTGTACTACTTTGAACGATAAAAAAAAAAAACAAAAAAAAACACACGAAAAAACGAAACGTATAACAGAGAACTGAAGTGATAAATATGTCACAAAAGATCGTTCTCTACTGTACTAGTATATGAAGCTCCTAAGAGCTTAAGAAATGCAAGAAATTCACTCTTATCAACTCGTTTGAAATCGCCCCCGTTAAATCCAAATTGCCCCACTGTGAACGGTGGGAACCACTGACCCAGACTGATAAGGAAGAGGTAGGGGAATCAGAGGAAGAGGCTCCCCAAGGGCTGTGCCCCAAGACTGTGCAACAAAGGGGTCCCAATGGAATCAGGAAAGGTAACCAGTACCGAGGTTTGCGTGTCCCTGGAGGAAATCACAGTCCAGGTTCACAGGCTGTGAGCAGAGGGCGTAGGCAAGCGGGCAGGTGCAGGAGAGTATATGAAGGCCAAGGAGACGGCAGTGGGGTGTGAAGAAGGTGAGGAATGAGGTAAGGAGCACACAGAGCACCATGGGCATCAGCCAGGAGAGGTACAGTCTGTGGCTGCAGAAATGTCACCATTCTGAGGAGGGACAGTTTCCTTGCTCCGTATGCAGAAGAGAAGCAAAGCAAGAAAGATGATGAATCCAGGCCCAAGAGGTAGGACTTCAGGTGAGCACATCTGCCGTGTGGGAGAGTGTAGGAGAGGGGCCAAATCCCAAGGGCACAAAAGAGTGAGAAAGGACAGGGGACGAATGAACTGCAGCCAAAGAATGGTAAAGAACGAAACCTGGGTGGTGACTAGGAGAAGGCAGAGGTACTTTCCTCCCATGGGTGGCTCAAGGGCGGGCAGGAGCCCACGCAGGGTGAAGATCACAGAGTGGGTAAGGCCCAAGAGCAATGCCGGCCTGGTGGGATGAGGTCAGAGGAGGACGAGGTGTGTAGAAGTGGCCCATGGAAAAGCCTGGGGACAACCCAGTCAGCGTAGGGCTAGGCGAAAGGAGGTGAGGTTACAGAGAAGGCCAGGTAAGCCACCACCATCTCATAACCGTGGATCCCCAAAGGTAAGAAACACAGGATAGCAGATGGAGTCAGCAGACCCCTTCTTGGTATGAGAGAGCATCCAATCGGGGAAGGGGTATTGCAGTGAAGAAAGGAGCACAGGTCATGGAAGGATCAATCAATCCTTCACCTGACCAAGTCATAGGGGAAGTAGGTTGGCACACTGAAGGTCAAGCAGAGGGTGGAGCATGGAGGCAGGGAGAGGTGGGATCGGGGATCCAGTCTGGAGGCGTTTCTGGTGTGCCAGGGTTGGAGAGTAGGACAGCCTTAAGATCCATAGGATTTCGGAAGGGGTTGGGTGAAGGGAGCCAACTCCAAGCAGGGGAATACCCAGTTCCTTTAATGGAGATTGTGCGCTGATTCCTTGTCAAGTGGTGGGTATAATGAATACAGGTTAAGGAGCAGGAAGGCAAGACTAGAGAATCCATCCAGAGAGCCCAGTGGTGAGTAGTCGCAGGGTAGGGGTAGGGCAAAAGTCTGGTTGGTGGAAAACACACCAGCACTTGAGAGGTTCACAGGAGCTCTGTGGAAGGATCATGCCAGGGGTGTGAGAAGACGGATAACGTTGAGATAAGGGAGAATAGCAAGAACTGAGAAAGTCCTGGTCCTGGACAAAGGTACTTCCACAAGGCACCAGAATCATAAAGGAAGGGAGGAAGGAATATCTTATGCATTGTTGTGTGTTTGTGTGTGTGTGTGTGTGTGTGTGTTGGATTTGTGGTGGTGGCGTCAGATAAATAATAGTGTTTTGCAGATTGGGGTTGGAAAGGGAGTCGGGAAGTTACAGGAGGACAGTGTCGGGTCAGTGAGAGAATGGTGCGAATGCTGGGATCTTTCAGGACAATGTGTCAAGGGCAACCAGTAGAAGGCTAAAGGCCCAAGGGTGAGTGCAGTGCAGCCCAGGAGTCAGGTTGCGCTAGTGATTCTT